GATGCTCAAATCTTCTGTTTCTGGTTCTTGGGACCTTAACTACCTCCACGTTATCCAACATGCCAACCTGCTTCCACCAGATGATCCAAAAATGACTCCAGGCTGGCCTCCCTGGCTCACCCTTTGCTCAGGCTACTCTCAACGCAGTAGGCATTGTCATCTTCTCATAATAAAATCAAAACCTGACAACTTCTTTGCTCTACCCCTTCTAAGACCTCATACCTCACCAGAAGCAAAACAAGTCCTACCCCACCCCAGGAGGCCCTGCATGGCCAACCTCCTCCATTACCACTCCAACGTTGCCTCCCGTCCTCACCCACAGCTCCACCTCAGTCTTTTGAACACACCTTGCACGTTTTCTTCAAACTAGGGGTTCTATTCACCAAGACACCCACAAGGCCTCCCTAGCTTCTGTAGGTTGGGGCTCATGTGTCTCCTCTTAATGTGGCCAATTATTTTCTTTTGTAGCTCATTTTTTTTAGTTGGTGTACAAAATAGTAAGTTTCATGAGGACGTTTTCCTACACATGGATCATTGTATTTTGTTCATGCAGACCCTCAAAAGCCACCCCGATTCCTCTTCTCCTTCTTGCTGGCCCCCTTTCAAGGACACATTTTGGTTTTTTTATTTGTTTGTTTATTTGTTTGTTTGTTTTATTTTATGTATATGAGTGTATTGCCTGCACCTGTGTCATGCAATGCTGTCGGAGGTCAGAAGAGGGTGTCAGATTCCCAGAAACTAGAGTTACAGACAGTTGTCAGGGTCATGTGGATGCTGGGAATCAAATCCAGGCCCTCTGTAAGACCAGCCAGTGCTCTTAGCTGATGAGTGATCTCTCCAGCCCCTCAATGATGCTTTTTGTAACCATCCTGTTTTAGACTGCAATTAAGACAATTCCCTATCTACTTGAATTTTCTAAACTACTTATAAGCATCTCATGTAATTTATTTGCTAACAATCAATCACCATGATAAAATATACAGTAGGCTCCCTTTCAGTCACAGTTTTAGTTTTGAAGTTTCAGGTACCTGTAGTCAACCATGGTCTAAAAATATTCAACAGAAAATTCCAGAAATAAACGGTTCCTAAGTTTTCAATTGTTTACCATTCTGAGGAACATCTTGTACTGTCTTGATCTATCCCACCCATGACAAGAATCATGCTTCTGTTCGCCTATCCATGCTGTCTACACTTTCCCCTATGAATTAGTCAGCAGCATCTCAATACCAGATCGCCTGTCACACCATCACAGTGCTACATTAAAGTAACCTTTCTTCTATCTGTGAGTGGTCCCAAAGCACATGAATAGTGATGCTGGCAATTTTATTACAGTATATTGTTACAATTGTTTAATCATCAGTCACTGCTGTTTATTCCTTCCTGTGCCTAATTTATAAATTAAGTTTTGTCATATGTACAGGCATAGAGGAAAAACACAGTATTTACAGATGGTCTCCAATTTGCAGCAGTTTGACATACAGTTTTCCCTTTTATGATGACATTAAAGCAATGTACAGTCAGTAGAAACTGTACTTTGAGTTTTAAACCTTCCTTAGCTCGCAGCATCTTGGCAGCAGCAGTGAGCACCAGTCCACATCAGTCACTGCATCATGGGTAAACACCCAACACTCTGCAGTGCTCTGTGTCACCAAGCTGTGCAGTTTGGGAGGTTAAGTGTATTATATACATTTCCAATTTATACTATATTCACCTTTAATGGATTTTTCAGAGTGTTACCCTATCATAAGCTGCACCATAGACTGAGGAGTGTCCTCATAAGGTTCAATTGCCTATGGTTTCAGGTACCCCCAGACCCCACAAGGATATGGAAACAAGAGAGGAGTACTACATAAGCTTTAGGAAGCAGGGATCTTTGTCTACTTTTCATTGTATCAAGCCCAGTACCTAGAACACTGTTGTATATATAGTGGTGGACACTCAGGTATATTAACTTACTTATCTGCAACCTGATTATCTTTCGCCTTTGAATCCAGTGAGAATCCAGAAGGAAAGAAATACTTATAACAACCAAAACAGATATCTATGTCACCAAAGAGGATAAACAGATGGTAAGCAAACACATAAAAATTATTCTGCATCACTCATCATTAGAGAAATACAAACTGAAACCACTGAGATATACTACTTCACACCTACAAAAATGCCTACAATAGGGAACTAGGGAGATGGCTCAGTGGGTAAAGCATTTGCCACAAAAACATGAGGAACTGAGTTCAAAACCCTAGAACTCATGTAAAGCCAGGCATGGTTGAACCTGGAATTCCAGTGTTCCCACAGCAAAACAGGAGACAGACATATATACACAGCAACAAAGAGGCCCTGTCTCAAAGCAAAAAGCAAGGACTGACACCCATGTATGTCCTCACTCAGACACATACATGCCCACATATCATACAAACAAAAAAAAATTAAAAAGGGACTGGCAAGATGGCTCAGAAGTTAAAAGCACTGGTTGCTCTTGTAGAAGACCAGGGTTCAGTTCCCAGCAACCACGTGATAGTTATCAACCGTCTATAGCTCCAGTTGCAGGGAATCTGACACCCTCTTCTGTCCTCCTAGGCCAGGTGCACTTACATTCATGCAGGCAAAACACTAATACATGTAAAATAAAAGTAAATCAATAAAAAATGTTAAAAGATAAGAAATAAAAATAGCTAAAATTTAAGCAAATGATAGCTCCAAAGGCTGGGGAGGGGACCCTGGATCTTTGCCATGCTGTTGATCAGGGTAAAATGCTACGACACTTCTGAAGCAATTACGGACTTTCCTACACTATAAACACATGCTCACCATGTGGCCCCAAAACATCTATCTTGGGCATTTATGCTAGAGAAATAAAAATGAGCTTGCACAAAGGCCTGTACATGAATATTCATAAGAGCTTTATCCATAATAAGTAGAAATAACCAAAATGTCCTTATGTGGGTAAGGTTAAACAGATACATCTATGCCACGGTAACAGTCTCAGCCGTCTAAAGAAATGTTAAGTTACAATAGCAAAAGATTTAGAGATTTAGGCTGGGCTCTAAGATTCATTTCTCAGTAGATTTGTTAAACCAAGCATGGGTAAACAAGACACATGAAAACCATCCTTTGCTGGGATTCTTTGAAAATATGTCAGGTGCTTATGTCAGTAGATGTTAGTTAGGAATCCATAGTGAGATAATGACTTTATTAGAAGCAGCAGGCCACAGAGAAGGGACATGACTTAGTATCTGTCTTCCCAGCTCTGAGGGCATCATGGGAGTAGCAGAAACAGTCAAGTCGAATATGAAGTGTTTTATGTCAGGGAAGATGGGAAGTCAAGACAGCATCTCACCCAGAAGGCAATGCAGGAAAGGTTTCTGAATAGAGTTAAGGAGTATAGGATGCAAGGGGATAGGAAAAGGGAAAATGGAAGCCTTCCCCCACAGCAGAAAGAACAGCACAGACAAACACAGCTAGTCCATAGCGGAGTGGGTGGAGTACAGCTTGGGAAAATAGGAAGAGATGAGGCTGGCCCTTAGGAGGATTCACAGGAAGCAGGGTCCAAGCCAAGAGAGGCCTTTTCAAATGGCCCATAGGGTCTGGGTTATGATCAAGGCACAGGCTCAAGAGAGGATTTAGACAAACGCCTCCATCACATGCCACAGTCCATCCCCTTAAGTTTCCCAATTTTCTAAAGCTTCTGGTGTGTGTGTGTGTGTGTGTGTGTGTGTGTGTGTGTGTGTATGGGTACATATGCAGTCAGAGGACAATTCAGTGGAGTTGATTCTTTCCTTCCACAATGTGAGTTCCAGGGACCAAATTCAGGTTGCTAGACTTGGCAGCAAACGCCCTTACTGCTGAGCTATCTCACAGGCCCTAGTTTCCTGATTGCTAGAGCCCACCTTTCTGCCGGCTCCATTACTCTTTACTGCATCAACCCTCTCTACCTCTAAGACCAAGTTCAAACCCTACCTCTTTTTCCAGGAGGCCTTCCCACACACTCAATGGAGGGGATTAGCTCTGCAAGCAGAACAGACCCAAGAGAACCTGTATGTGAGCCAAATGTAGCGTGTACGGTGTAGAGTGATGATCAAGGTTGGAAACCAGCTTGCCTGAGTCCAATCCTGTCCTCACATCATTCCTTCTCTGTGCTTTAGTTGCCTCAGTGGTAATGTGGGAATCATCACAGAAGAACCTCAAAAGGTCGTCTATGGATGGACAGTGATACATTTAACTCAGAGTAGTGAGTGCTTAATAAATGTTAGCCCTTTCCAGCTGCTGTGCCATGCCCCTGCCCACCCACAGCAAGTATGGGCAAAGTCTACCATTGGTATTCCATGTGCCTTGGAATGGAGGGGTATAAGAATTAATGCCCTTACCTCACTGACAATCCCTTCTCATACTCTCTGCTTGAACGGTGGTCAACATGGACTAGAAACATCCTTATCTTTCACAGGTAATGTCCAGAACCTCAAATCATGTCTTAGAAGGATCCTCTCCCAAGCACTCTCCCAGAATGACCTAGAGCAAGTACCTTTACCTGTCAGAACCTTGGTATTTTCCACCTGTACAGGCAGGGGGAGTTGCTGCAGGCACAAAGGGCTTGGCAGGACTCTGCCAGGGGCTGGTGCAAACGCGATTTCCATTTCCTGTTGCAAGCCACACACCTCCCAGCTCCTCACTTTCACTTCTGGAAAGAGCTCACTCCCCAGACCAGCTACTAAGAGCAGGTATATTTTAATTTGCCCTGCCCACTGACTTGATGGATTCTTGTTCTCCTCCTCCAGGGACTTTCCTAACTTCCTTCTGTAAACGAAGGAAAGAGCACATGAGCATACTGTATATAAATATGCTTGGGAAAGCTTTCTCCTTCTTCTTTTTTTTTTTAACCAAACTTGGTTTCTGTTGTAGGCGGTGCATTCCCTAGTAGGGCAGGGCGGGCTACCGAGGGCTATCAGGGGGAGGGGGGAGAGAAAAGGGGAGGAGAGGCGGAGGGATTAACTCACCCAGTGTGACAGTTGCTCTTCTATTTAATGGAGGGGCTCTGGCCAGGAAGAGTCAGAAGCGCCTCCAACACAGCAGGGGCATGGCAGAGGAACTGGGGCTGGGCTCTGGGGAAGCAGCCAGAGGGGAAATGCTGCGGGAGGACCGCAGGCTCGGGCCCCCGGCCAGGGCCAGGCCAGCCGCCAGGAGCTACAGCGCATGCCTGACTCTCACCTGCTGCCTGCTGCCATTCCCCATCCTTGCAGGGCTCACCACCTACGTGATGGTCAGCCAACTCCGGGCCCAGGGAGAAGACTGTGTACAGCTGCCGGTAAGCACGCTTGCTCCTGCACAGGGCCTAGTGGCTTCTGCAAGCAGTCATCCTATTCCAGCTTTGGACCTAGGACCAAGCTGTTGATGGGTTGCATTCCTTACTCTCAAGTGCAAATCAAAAACAGAATGGGAGGGTGGGAGGGGTGGAGAGGTCCCATCTGCTTCTCTGTATTTCCAGGGAATTAAATTATCTCCTGGTGTTATGCAAGAATAACTTCACACTCTCGATTTTGGATAGTCATCATCATAGTGTACTAATAATTTGGAAACGTTCCTTTTATTTTTTTAATAAGGTCTTAAATTATATTATATAATGTATTATTGGGACAAAAAAAAAAACCAAAAATCAGACAAGGAAATGAAGAAAATGTCTTACTCATAAACCTCAGAGATGAAAGCTATTAAGAGTCTGGAGTGTACAGTTCCATTCTGTTTTTAGTAAAATGGGGTTATTCTGAGCTTCTTAACACATTATGATTTTGTTTATTTGGTAATGAATCCATGGCAGCATGATGTGTGGATATGCTAGGATTCATTTAACCAATTCCCCCTCTTGGGTTTTGAAATCTGTTTCAATGGTCAACAAAGAACCTCCCAGTTGACTGTAAGGTTTTGCTGGGGCTGGAGAGAAGTTTGGAGAGAAGTTTAATCACCAATAGGATATGGAATAGGGTTAAGGGAGTTGAGGTACAGGTGTCAAGGAAGAAACTTAGAATTGGGGGCTGGGAACCTACAAAAAGGGTCTGAAAAGCTAAAATTTTTATTTAAGTAATTTTTAGGGAGGGGAAAAAAGCCCCCATATAATGTGTGATGACTGATTCGATTTTAGTTTTAAGGACTGGATTCTAAAGGAGAAAATGAGTGACTTAAATTGGAAACCTGGTCTCTATTCAATCCTGCTCAATTTCCATACTGTGGATAACGTGTAACTCCTGGGATTCCATCAGACTCAACAGTGACTCAGGCAGCAGTGACCCTGGCCACGTGCCATGGCTCCTCAAATGTAGACACATGCAGATGGCCCAGGAATGCTGCTCCTGTTGGAGGGGAGCTGCAGGGCATGGGAAGGTCAGGTTGTCACCCCAGGAAGTCCTATACTTGAGATTGGTTTCTGTGAAAAGTGAGGCCACAGCACCCAGGTGCTCCAGGGGTCTCTTCGGCCAGAAGACAGCTATTCTTGAATAAGGGGCTAGGTGGCCTCCAGCAACCTGTACCTCCTTGCTCTGAAGAGATCCCTGGAGCACAATCCTCTTACCCAGGATACTATCTGTGATCCTCATGTTAGCAGAAGCCATAGAAGCCTTTATCCATCTAGGCCACCAGTAGATGCTGTAGTCAAGGGATGCAAGTTGGAGGCATAAGCCAGACAGGAAGACCTCTGAAGGAAGGCTCTGGTTGTCTTCATACACCACATAATGCAGTCCTCCCCTTACCTTCTTGACTCAGGTCCTTGGGATATAAACCACACTAAACCTAATACCACCGACTCTGTTAAGGGGAAAGCAATCTCCTGGAGAGGAAACACAGGGACATTTGCCCTTATTGTTTTGTCAGGCTGTGGGACATCTTAGTGCATCAGAAGAAAGAGGAGACAGGGGTGAGGCTGGGACACATGGACAGATCCAGGCCCCGAAAAGAAGCAGCTGGTCATTTAGAGGAGTGAGCTTGAGGAAGGAGAGCATGTATAAAGAGCCTGAAGGGACTCAAAGAAGGGCTGATTGATGCTAAGACTCAGAAAAGGGAAACAGAAGGGCTGGGAGCATCCAGGGTCAGAGCCCAGGAAGCAGCTACCACCAATCCCTTGGCATGAGGATAAATGGAGTTTTAGAGGAAACCAGAAGGGACTAAGTCGGGGAAACGGCCCAACCGGAGGATGCAAAGGTTACATAGAGAAAGGAACAGACAGAGAAGACTGAAAAAACTGGCCATTCTCTCCTCTAAGCCTTGGAGCCCACTGACCAGACTCAAGTGGAAGCCAGAACTCAAAGGAGCCAGGGTACAGCCTCCCTGGGAAGGAGCAGCACTGAGAAGCACAGAGAGTGGACCTGGAGGGCCTAAAATAGAATAACCAGCTCAGGAGAAAGGGCAGAGTGTGAGTTTCAAGGAGGGAAAGGTGGGCCAGAATATGGCACATAGATCTTTAAAAAACCCTGCTCAGCCATTTTTGGCCATGTAAAAAACAAGCTCATGCCTTCATTTCTTTGAACTCAATTTCCTTTACTGCCAAAAGGGGCATTACTTTCAGCATCCTGACAGTGTTGATGAGGCATATGTGGGAACATTTTGTATGTCTGGAATGTGGCCAAATGACATGCCAGTGATTGCTGGCATATGATCATCCCTCTATACCAGGCACCAGACAACCACCAGAGAAACTTGACCTTGGGCCTCCAGGAGTTTCAAGGCTAGCTTATGAGACAGAGAAGGAAAGACAACTACTCCCACACACGGTGCTGTGAAAGGCCTGATGTTTTCCTAGCCCAGCCACAGGGCAGGGCTTGCTTAGAGAAGGCTTCCTGCAGAAGACCAAGAAGGCACCTGTGATATACAAGGCTATGCCTGAGGGCCAGGTCAAGAACTCCCTTTGAGATAAAGGCAGCCATTCTCTGGAGGTTAAGTGACCCATAGTCCTTTGTTTTACAGACAGGGAAACTAAGGCATGGGTGCTGAAGACATTTGCATAAGTCTATACTTTTAGTCAGTGGCAGATCCAAGAGTTCAAAGCAGCCCACCTGAGCCCCACTTTGTGCATTAAGGCAACAATGTTCACTCACACTGCACCACATTCCAGATGTTGTATCACAAGAATATGTCAACAACACCATGGAAGAAAGCAGCTAACACCATTACCCACACCCCCCATGCCTGCACACCCCCTGCACCCCCATGCCAGGACCCCGCACGAAGAGTTTCATAGACAAAATCTATGTCACAGAATTACCCACCTAGGACACCCATCCTAGCAGGGAATTAACACTACAGTGCCTTTCTAAAGAAGAGAGGTGGCCTGGCATGCTCATGTTGAGGAAATGAAATTAGAAACAAAATTCTGAGTCTTCTTTTCCTCTCCACAAAAGTAGAAGAGAAAAAATGTTTTTATTATTGAAAAATCCTCAGACCAAGATGTGATGTGCATCACAGGCAATCCACTTAGAGACTGCAGAAACAGAAAGAGATTACAGTTCCGTATGGGCAGATACAGCTCAGCACGTTTGAGGTTAGTGGAAAGAGCCACGGAGGCTCACAGTATATATAAGAGCATATCTCTGTCTTTCGAGCGTGTTCACGTGCATGTATGCATTTATAAATACACAGAGTATCTTAGGAAGGGCTGAAAAATCAGGACCTCTGCTAACATCCAAGTAAGGGAACTAGTGGCTGGACCACAAGGGAAGGATGGCTGGTATTTCTACGTCTTTATTCCTTTATACAAAACACTGTTTCAGAATCTTCAGATTTATGAGTTTGGAGGCTGATTTCTATCTTGGAAAGGTCATGAGCTGAAAGCTCAAAGTCAGGCTCACTGCTAGTTAGTATGTTCCCTCACCTCCCCAGGCCTCTGTTCATATATGTATGAAATGTGGATAATTAGCGATCAGGCATGTAAGGTATCTGGCAGTGGTGGGGAAATAATGGCAGTACTTACATCACTATGACCAGGGAGTTTCCCCACTTGGGGAGGTTACCTCATAGAGCACAACTTTTCCACCTGCTGTGGAATCTTCCTTCACAGGCCAGAGAGCAGCTTTGGGTATCATAGGGCTTTCCTTGACTTACGGGTGTCTCTGCACCCCCTCTACTCTCCAGTCTTGCCTCATTATCACAACCCAACTTCTCTCCCCACAAGCTACCTCTCCAGCTCCATTTGACCATGGCATTGGCATCCCCCAGGGCCCTGAATAGCTACCACTGCTCCAGGGTTGGTACACTGGCCCATCTGGCATCAGTGCCCTAAAGCCAGGTCTTCCTTTTTCCTGGGTATGGCTCTGGAACCAAGGCTATATGCCCCAGGCCCAGAATGCTCTGAGGCGGTTTAGCCCCAAACTACACACGGAACGGTACTTCATTCTGTGTAGTGAATGGCCTGGGCTGTACAGTAGACCGTCCTGCCCAGAGCTGCACTCATGCTCTCTGTGCTTCCCCTCCAGGTCCTGACTCTTGAGTCATCTGCCCACATTCCCCTTCATTCCCTCCAATTTCACTTCTATACCTTCTTGAAAATCCCTGGACGACTTCTTTGTTTCCTATACTCCTTCCGCCACCACATTCCCGAAAGACCCCTGGCCCCTCAGTCCCCAGTCAGATCAACAGGACCCCATGATGATGCCAATTCAGATTTCAGAGTCCCAGACTTGGGGAAGGCCACAAGCCCAACCACAAAATCGCTGTGACCTCTTATTATGTACCAGGTGCCATACTCAACTTTTTCATGCTTAGAGTTCTGGGAATAAAGGAGATCATGCCTATAATATGCTTGGTGTGATACCTCACATATTAAGAACTGGCAGTACCAGTTTGCTCTAATTGCTATACACATTTGACAGTAAGTAAAGTGTTCCTGTCATCTTAGATGACATGATCCAGGATAAGAGAAGTTCAGCAAGGTGTCCAAAGCACACAGTCCAAAAGTGTGACCCATCATGTATGTTCCTCCAAATCCCTATATTCATCTGCCCAGCAGATGAGGTGGTTAGGGAGATTAAACCCAGAAAAATTTGGAACACATTAAGTGCTCAATAATGCTAGCTCCATTTCCTACTGGAAGCTCTGCCTGGCACACCCAAAGGCACTCAGTATTTTCTGAATGGAAAGAGGGATGAGGTAATGGGCAAGGTGCCATACTTCCCTAAGCCTCAGACTCACTACCCATAAAGTGAGGAAATGAATACACTTTCCTTACAGCACTGTAGTGAGAATTTTGCACGATGTCCACAAAGCCATTGGCGAAGAATAGCTCAGCTGTTAATTTCAGTCCCCACTCCACCTTGGACAAGCCCT